TTTTTTTTTTTCCATTCAGAAGAGTCCCTGTGTACCTCTGGTCCCATACACAACCTTCCTTGCTATAGAGATCAACACAGATGCGTTTGTTAAAATCTAGCAGACCTTCATATAAAGCAAATTAAGGTTTGAATCCTGACTAACACTATGCTATGGTCTGATAGTTTAGCCTTGATGTTCTTCTACCCACACTCTGTCTCTGTTTCTGTCTTTCTCTGGTACAAAGCACGAAAGACAGGACCTTATGCATGCTAGGCAAATCCTTTACACCATATTCCCACCCTGTCCCCAACATTCTTTTCTATAAATTAGAGTGAATAATTTCATAATATAATGAGGATTACTTAAATGATATATTTATAGTACCTGGTACATAGTAAATGATCAATGAATATTTACTACAGTGATAGTGATTTATTATTTTCCTCTCTTTGCATTTCAGTCTAAGGTTCAATTCTTGATTGTCATACTTTTCGATAGAACACTAATTCTGAGTCAGCCACTGGAGAGCCAAAAAAATCTGGAGCATTTCACCTAACCTTTTTGAGTCTGATTCATCTACCAAATGAGTCCTATATGATAATCCCTACCTCTGTTTTTAGTTATTATAGAGCTGGGTGTGGTGCACACACCTGTAATCCCAGCACTTCGTAGGCTGAGGCAGAAGGATTGCTGTATGTTTGAGGCCAACCTGAACTACATAGCAAGACCCTGTCTCAAAACATGGTTGCTATCTTTTTAAAAGCATTACTGTAATGTGTGGTATACAGCAGTGTTCAAATATGTTTTTTTTTTTTTTTTTAGTTTTTATTTATTTATGTGTGTGTGTGTGTGGCCAGCTCAGTCCACCAGGGGGCGGGGCTGGCTGGCATGTGGTGCTGGGGGATTGAACCGTGGTCCTTGTGCTTTGCTAAGCTTGTTCTAAATAGGTGCTTTAGACCACTGAGCCATCTCACCAGCCCCCAAATATGTTTGCAGTCTTAAAATTTAAGATTTTTTCTGGCCAGGGAGATAGCTCAGTAGAATAAACACTTGCCTGGCAAGCACAGGGTCCTGAGTTCAATCCCCGATAACCACCAAAAAAAAAAAAGTTTTCAGTTATGTCTTATAATTGAAAATTTATAGCAACTTACAACTAAAAACCATCTTTTTTTTTTTTTTTTGCGGAACCGGGGTTTGAACTCAGGCCCTTATGCTTGCCAGGGAAGCACTTATTCTATTGAGCCATATCCCCAGCCCCTAAAAACCATCTTTTATTTTGTATCTCTTCTACTCTGAAAAAGCAGGATGTTCTTGACAAGGATTCTGGGGAGATGAAAGGCCGAGAGAGAAGAACGGGCAAAGTCATTCCTGTTCTACAAACCAAAACCAGGTAATATAACAGTATAAATATTCTGATTTCTGTTCTTTCTTTTTTTTTTTTTTTTTTTTTTTTTTTATGCAGGATCTACAGGGTCTCACTACACAGATCGGACTTGTAGTAATTCTCCTGTTTTCATCCTCCCAAGCACTGGGATTACAGGCATGTGCCACCACGCCCAGTCTTGTTGGTTCTCTTTAATTTGTATCTTTTCCTTTCCAGTATTCCTTAGTACGGTGGGAAAAAATCCAACATGGAGAGTAAGCAACTTGAAATTTTGGCACTTCCAACTGTGTAGTCTTTGGCAAATCAAATAATCTCTCACCTCAGTTTTTCTATCTGCAAAATACAGGTAACAACGTCTTCATATAACTATGGAGAAAATCATTTAGTCATTTTTCCCAACCTGCACACAGCTGCCCTTAGTGAAATAAATACACACTATAGTCAAAGGTTACAGATTTAAGTCATCTTTCCCCTTTATTGTTGCCAGGAGGTGGCAGTGTCTGTACATGGGCCTTTGGATGTCTTACAAAAGCTGGGTTTTTTAAGGCTGAATCAGATGGATTTATAGTAAAAGTTTTAAAAAATTAATTTTGATGCTGGCATGGTGGCATATGCCTGTAATGCCAACACTTAGAAGAGTAAGGCAAGAGAATAACTGAGTTTAAGGCTAGCTTGGGCTACATAGTAAGTTTAAGTCTAGCCTTGATTACATAGTACAACTGTGTCTCAAAACCCAAAATAGCTGGTTGTGTTACATGTCTATAATCCCAGCATTCCCAGCACACCCTGCACTCAGGAGGCTGAGGCAGGAGGATCTTTTTTTTTTTTAAATTTTTTTTTTTTAACGTTTATTTATTTATGTGTGTCTGTGTGGCCAGCTCAGCCCACCAGGGGGAGGGGCTGGCTGGCATGTGGTGCTGGGGGATCGAACCGAGGTCCCTGTGCTTTGCCAAGCTTGTTCCAAGTAGGTGCTTTAGACCACTGAGCCATCTCACCAGCCCCAGGAGGATCATTTTTTGAGTTTGAGTTTGAGACCAGCCTGGGCTACAAAGTGAGCTTAAGGCCAGCCTGAACTGCACAATGAGACCCTGTCTCAAAAAGATAAAAAAGAAAAAAAGTTATTATACATTATATATTCTACTTTAACATTTAAAAATATAGTACAAGTAAAGCTAGTTATCTTTGACTTCCACCCCAATCCCAGTTTTCCTGTTTTGTTTACATAATTTGGAGGAAAACTTTCTAATTGCTTGCAATGGAAATTATAGCAAAAGTCATGCTACTTGGAAGTGTAACAGGTTTACAATCTTAGTATTCTCATCTATGGATCTTTAGTGTGCACTCAAGTCTTTTTTTTTTTTTTTTTTTTTGTGGAACTGGGGATTGAACTCAGACCCTTGTGCTTGCCAGGGAAGTACTTATTGTACTGAACCATCTCCCCGGCCCCATGTACTCGGTCTCTATCACATTCGACTTTTCTATGGCTCTGTGAGGTTAGCTATTTCTTGATTACTCTTGATTTCATGAACAAATGCTTGCTTTCTCCAAAGACTAGCTAATCTTAACTTATTCTTTTTAATAATAGCTTATATCTACTTGTCTTCCTTTTATTCTCAACTCCATACTTAAATTTAGATTTGGATTATGTGATTAATACTGTCTTCTGTGGCTGGATCTTAAAGAATTTTGCCTCTGAAAATTGGTTGGTCTAATCAATCAGCACTATGTGACTTCTTTCAAAAAGCAATGTATTCATGATTCTAATGGACTTTCTTTTCCTCTTGATTTGCTTTGTTTAAGGACTAATGTTTCAACACTTTCACAGTCAGATCTAGAACATCAGAAGCGAATTTATCTCAGGCGTGTCTTTGATCATATAGAAGAGCCCGGGGACTTTAACCAAGGTAAGATAGTAACCAAACACATGTAAAACATGTGATGGGATTTTTTTCTTTCCAGTGTAATGCAGCCTAAACTAGCAGGTTATTTTGAATATTCTTAAAGTAGTATGGAAGATAACTTCCTTAAAGAGATATTTGCTTTGTTTTTCTTTTTATTTTTATTAGTTCCAGGATCTTGTTCTGCCAGGGAGTGCTATGCTACTGAACTTTATCCCCAGCCCAGAGATTTTTACTTTAAGGGCTGGCCTAATTAGACAATTGTTTTTTTCTTTTTTTGGTCTTTTGAGACAGTCTTGCCATACAGTTGAGGCTGGCCTTGAGCTCACTTTGTAGCCCAGGCTTGCCTCAAACTCAAACTATGCTCCTTCCTCAGCTTTCCCAGTGCTGGGATTATAGGCATGGGCCACCGTGCCTGGCTAATCAGATAATTATCCAAAGCAGCAGTTTGGCTGTCATGTTAGAGATGGGTCTGGGTAGACTCACACCCAAATAGACAGGAGGAGGTCAGATATCAACTTCTTTGCTGGTGATTCCCCCCCCCCCCCCCCGACAAAAATTAGAAGTGGATGGCCTGGTTGCTCCATACTAATCATTCTTTTTGAATTTTGTTTTCATTTGAAATTATTTTCCTGGGCTGGTGAGATGGCTC